TAGTTTATATAGGTTTTGCAAGCGGGAGATACAAAAGCGTAAAAGCGTGGTGAATTTTATTGGGTAGCATCAGTTACTCTTGTTGCTGAGCGGAAAGTCTCTGAAACAAGTTAGCAAACAGGGTGTGTTTGGGGGCTGGAAAGTGCAGGCTGTGCAGCTGGGTGCCGTCAAACTGAGCGGGGTCAGGTTATCTCTGGTGTCGTCAGTCAAGGCTGAGCGAGCCTAACAGACAGGCTACGCGGTGGGCTGCATGAGCTCATTTTGTCCTAATATGGGGTCACACTACTAGTTGACGTTTAAATTTTTAAAAATTCCCACCACAGTTGTTCTCCTGCTCCTGCTCGGTCTGAAGTCTGCACCTCCAGAGCACCCCTCCCCTCCCAGACCTGGGCGGCAACAGATGCGATCTCTCACAGCCAGACACCGAGCGCGAGCGCAAATGTCACCGGTGGGCCAGGGCTGTGGCACCTGTGTCCCCTTCTGCTCCAGGACCCCCGCCTGGTGGCCCCGTCTACCTCCAAGGGCACATTTGGCCATCACCCTGTCTACCCCTGGGTTCTTTATCCCTCCTGTGTTCTACCCTCTCCTCCCAGGTCAGCCGCCAGCCTCCAGCCTCATACGGCCCCCATCAGCGATCCCCCATCAGCCCGCCGACGGGTCATGCCCCAGACCCGTCAGGATCTGCTGAACAAGACTCAGTCGCTTCCTAAGAACTCAGCTTCCTCCTTTCAAAATAACATTCGCCAGGTGTGGTGGTACACACCTGCGATCCCAGCACTTCGGGAGGCTGAGGCAGGAGGATCGCAAGTTCAAGCCCAAGCTGGGCAGCCTAGCAAGACCTTCTCTCAAAATTATAAAAAAAAGGGCCGAGGATGCAGGTCGGCACAAAGGCCCGGGTCCGATCCACACACACACAGAGACATTTGCTTCGGCTGTATTAAGAAGTGATCTTGTGGGAGAGGAGCCATGGGAAGCGCTGGGGACACAGAATGGGTAGGTGCCACTTTGGCTGCCCTTGTCCCACCCCTGGGCTGCAGCCTCAGCCTTGGAAGCTCGGCCTTGGCACCTGCTTCTCTGGTGACATGTGATGGACTCGCTGCAAGATGCCACACACAGCAGCTGGGGGACTCGGGGGCACGACCCACCCCCAGCACACAGCGCCGAAGATGCAAAGACTCGCACCTGGGCACCCGGGCACGCGCCCCGCTAATGCCTGCCTTTGATCACAGTCTCTAGTTGTCATCTCCACTCAGTGTTGACAAAGCAAAATACAACACACAAAGCAGGAAAGAAATGCACCCTGTCACTCGGACTCCCCCGCCCCGCCGGGCTTGGCAGCCCCCGACCGCCCCCGCCTTTGTATTATGGGTTTATGTCAAGGTATGTTGGATTCTAAATTAAATGTCAGCCCACTGTACATTTCTGGCTCCAGCCGCAGAAAGTGAGGAGCTGGCGCTGGAGACCATCCAGTTGCTCGCGCGCCGTGCCTAACCGCGAGGGTGACAAGCCCATTGAATCACAGCGCGGTACCTCTCCCTGCCACGGGAAGCCAAGATAAATTTACTTTTAATGATAAATGTGACTGTCAGAGTTAAGTTGAAACAGCTTCACGGGGAGAGCTGAGCGCCCTCGGCAGCTTGGGGCAGAGGCTGGGCGGATGAGGCCCAGGGGTCCCGGCCTCGTGGCCCGCCAGCCTGAGTCCCGAGGGGCAGGAGCGTCTGACGTTCGGCCGACGTTCCGTGACCTGCCGCGTGCCAGCTCGGCAGCACTCTCTGTGCGCCTCAGGCCCAGCTCCGGCCAAGAGGCACAGTGGAGAAGGAAACCTGGGCTCTGAACTGAGTTCAAGTTCCGATCCCGCCAATCGCTGTGTGATCTGGGTGAAGGCGCTTGATCTCTCTGAGCCACAGCTGCCTCAGCTTTTAAAAGTAAGGATATTAAATCTGGTGTGGTGGTGCCTGCTTGTGGGCCCAGCTCTCTGGGAGGCAGAGGCAGGAAGACCGCAAGTTTGTGCTCAGCCTCGGCAACTTAGTGACTTAGCAAAAGCCTGTCTCAAAATAAAATAAAAAGCAAACAGGGCTGAGGGTGGAGCTCAGTGCAAAGGCCCTGGGTTTGATCCCCAGTACTGCATAAATAAACAAATAAATAGGGATATTAACACCCATAGGTCTCTGGAGAAGACAACAGGAAGTAAGGTGTGCTAAGGGGCAGTGTCCATGGGAAATGTTTACTAAAGGTCACTGGGTATTCACGATATCGTTTTATCAACAGAACCATCGCTCAAGTGATAGAACAACTTTTAGGGTCAGTTTCCTCACCTCTAAAATGGGGTCACAATGGCTCCCACTTGCAGGGTGGCTGGGGGGATTTGAGGAGCCCGGCACCAGGGTGACACCCGAGGTGGCAGCGGGTCCGGAGCTGGCTCCTGCACGTGTCACTCATGTGACTCTGCTGTCTCACGGGTGTGCTGTTTACGGCCCTCCAGCCTGGGGGCGCCTCACTGTCCACCCCACGCCCACTCCCCGCCAAGGCTGGGCCCAGGAGCCGCGCCCCCACAGGACAGTGCCGCGCGCCTGGCAAGGGCAGCTGCCGCCCCGTGATTGATGTGTCATGGCTCCGAGGGAGGAGCAGGATGTCGCTGCCCTTCTCTCTGGAATTTAAACTAAAAATCACAGACAGGAAGGCGTTGCCTCTCGGCCTGGTCATCACAGCCAGGTGGCTGCGGGCAGGAAAAGCAGGGACAGGCAGAATTGGGGGCCAGAGGCGGGCGGCGGGCACTGGGCAGCCTGGGGGCCAGTCCCGTGTGGCCTATACCTATCAGCCTCGCCAAAGGCTCTCAGAGGGTGACAGACTGTCCCTTCTCCCGTGCGGATCTCGGGGACCTGCTTCACTTCCCACCCCCTGCGTCACACCTGCAGGCTGCCGAGCAGGATGCAGCCGGCCCCTCTCCCGGGACAACGTGCCCAGCGTCTCAGGTGGGCACAGCACAGAGCGGAGGCCTGCAGGCTCACACCTGTCCTGCCCCATGCTGACCCTTCCTCCAGGGTCCTGAGCAGAGGGCTCTTCACTGCAGGGGGTTCAGACGCTTGCACCCCTGCAGGAGGAAGAGCCAGGACCTTACAGCTGAGCAGGTGCGGCAGACCGGCCAGCAAGCACTGCCAGGAGAAGCCACTAGGTGGCCCCCGCTTCCCTGTCCAGCGCCCTGCTGCAGACCTGGAAGCAGAGGGGCCTCCTGCCTCCACTGGGCTGGGTGACTACTGCACCAGCACCATGGAAACGCCTCTTCCCCACACCCAGACAGCCCTCCTTCCTGAGGCCCCTCTGCCCTGATGGCTCAGGCACATGGGGGACCACACCCTGCCTCGGACTCTCAGTTCCGGGCTCCCCTGGATGGTCTTTCGCGGGTGCCACCAGGTCGGGAGGACACATCATTGCCACCACTGTGGGATCCTGGACTTGAGGCCTTCCCCGTGTCGGCCTCATGCCGGGCACGGCTGAGCGCCCTGCAAACCCCAAGCACTTGGCTGACGTTTAGAGAGGAAACTGAGGCTGGGGAGAGCAGGAAGTCTGCCCAGGGAAACAGGAGTAGCTGAGCACTCCCTCGGCGCTGCCTAGCACTGCCTCTCAAAGCCCAGAGAGCTCGCTGAAAGTGGGTGCTCCTCACCCTGTGGGACACTGAGGCTCAGAGGTGCAGCCGCTGGCCTCAGACCACAGCCAGCACTGCCGGCACCATATCCCTCTGTCTGTGCCTAGCGCCCTGCGGGTGCCCTGCTGGCCCCCTAATGCATAGGGTAAGTCAGGTGCCTCCCAGAGAGAGCAGGGGGCCAAGACGGCCACTGGACTGCCAGCTGGCCTGCTGGGCAGTCGGGCGGGGGCGCCCTGGAGGGTAACTGGGGCTGTAGACCATCGGCTGGGGCCCTGGGAACCCGGCTTCCGGAAGGGGAGAGGACCTCCTCTGACGGTGCCAAGGGTCCCCACCCCCAGTCCCACCGCACCCTCTGCCCGAGCCAGGTGCTCAGAGGGACAGGGAGAGGGACTAAGATGGGGCGACAGACGGGCAGCCGGTGGGGGAGGGACGAAACGTGCCAGGGAACAGCTCGGCGGGCCAAGGCGCCCCGTGAGCCGGAAAGCAGCGTGGGGAGACGCGGGGGGCGTGCGGGGGCGTCGCTCGGAGCCTGGAGGGGGGCGTCGCGCGCGGAGCCACCCGGCCAGAGCCACAATAGCAGCTCGTTAACGCGCAGATTAAGGACTTTGTCAATTACCTCGAAGGCTGCGCAGCGGATTAAACGCTTTCAGGAGCGCTGGGGCGGGAGGGGGCGGCGAGAAGCCCGGGGCTCAGATCCCTCCCGGCCGCGGGGGAGTCGGGGTGCGGAGCGGGTCTGGCGCGGGCGGCGGGGGCTGAGACTGGCCCCGGGACATCGGGGACCCGCAGGGCCGCCCCCCGCCGCCCCCGACCCTTGCCTCGTGCGCCCTGAGCTTTGGGGAACGTGGAGCCGCCCCCGCGGGGACTTCGGGCGACTCCCGCGGGGAAGGAAGTTTGAGGGGGTCCCGGGCCCCTCGGGAGCGAGCGAGCACGACCGCCGGGGACCCGGGCCCGATCCCCCCGCGCCACGGTATCGGTGCCTTTTGCAGGTGAAGTGTCCAAGTGCGCGCGTGTGCGCGCGTGTGCCCGGGAGGCCGAGGGAGCGATAAAAGGCAAAGAGTCCGAGACAAAAAGACGCGGAGACGGGGAGGGGAGCGCGAGGAGGCGGGGAGCGCGGGCGCGGGCG